AAATTTATTTTTTCCTATATATATATTTTAAGGAAAGATTATATTGACAAAAAAAATTTCTTACAAACTTATAAACTATACTAAGTCTGATTAGTCATACATTCTTGATTGAAGTCTGACTAGTCAAACTTAATGTAGTTTATAAGTTTGTAAGAAAAAAGTTTATCAATATAAACTTTCCCATATTTTTATACATAAATAATTTCTGATACCCAGCCTGGAAGGCACTGACACAGCAGCAATCACGGTGTCAACGAAAGCAGTCCAAGATTGCTGGACCAATGATCTAGGTTTAAGAAATTAAATGTTCTCTGATGCACACTGTATCAATGGCCCACTTGAAAATAACTTCAATGCAAGTTATTGGGATTTTGACATAGTGGGGATGAGTTTAGATAAATCATATTAAATTATGCGTTTAATTTTTATTTTGTATAAAAAAATAAAAATAAAATAACTTCGATGCTATTCAAAAGAATAAAGGAAGTCAACACTCAACATGCATGGCCATCTATAGAACTTTTTATTTTTTATTTTTGGAAGAAACACTATAAAAGTGGTTTTCATGAGATTTTCCCTAAAAAACCAAGGGTTTTATTATTTTTATGTTGTATAAGAAAGAAACCATATTTTATACACATAAATTTAAGATGAGTCTCATTTTATTTTATTTTCTCTCTCTTTCTAACAGTGAACTCCGCTTGTATAAATGAGTTAATAATTTTCTCCTAGAGAAAATTGTTACCGAAAAACCAATTGAGAAAATGGGAGGAAGAGGAATAGAAAATTAATATTCTGTCGAAATATTAAATCTCTTAGTAAAATTTGGAAATAAATATCTCAATTAAATGAGTTAAGCTCGTGCAATGAACTAACTATTTATTTAAAGCATTTTAAGTGTCCTCATCTCTTTCTCTTTTATTTCTCATGCAATATTTAATAGTTTAATACAGTCCTACGTACATTTGTAGTTATTTTTTAACTTTATAAATATCATTATGTAAGTTAATAAAAAAAATGCTTTAAGTAGAGAAAATTAAATTCCAATAAAACCACTTCCAAATTGAATATTTTAGAATTTTTAAAATTCAATTCGATTGGAACCTAACGTAGTTTTATAAGACCAAACAGTTGTTTGCAAAATTAAAATTTTAACTTTATTATCCATCCCCCCACCCCCCAAAAAAGAACAACCCAAAATAAATAAATAAATAACTTTAGAACTTAATTGAATTAAAAAAAGAGAAGAGTTATTAAGTTTTCCAATGTTCCATGTTAATTTCAGGCTCAATTGCTGAAAATTGTCTACCTTATTACCAAAAAGAAATTATAAACAAGATGATATGACTATATATATGATGCTTATATATAAAATAACTTTTACACATATTCATCTATCTAATTTGTATTTATGATGGCATAGAATTCGGATATTAGTTATTCTTAAAAGATTGTTTTTAATCAGTGCTACCATAAAGGAACAAATCGTAGGGTGTGAGTCGTGTGACCTTGAATTGAACATTACTGGCATGTTTTACAATTATAAAAATGCGTAAATCCTCATTCCTTAAGCAATCTTGTACATCACGGTTTGCCCTTTATAAAATAATAAATTTAGTGAAATTAATAATGTGTAAGACTTATATATCGTTATAAAAAATGATACTATACTCCCTTTTATATATATATATATATATATATATATATATATATATATGTGTGTGTGTGTGTGTGTGTTGTGCATCTAAGTATAGTCTTTCTTGAGCGGCATAAGATCATAAATGTGTGTGCAGTGTGTGTGTAGCAGTGAACATTGAATGGCACTGAAAAGAGTAAAGGGTCCATCTGAGGAGCTTATGGTACGTTAAAGTCCCCACTCCCATCCTTGAATGCAATCATGCATGTACTCTCTCAGCCACCTCTCATTAATTCATTCACATAATAAAATAAGAGACCCACGTTTATTGCACCCACCACTCTGCCTCTAAGGACACTTCCTCTGAAATTTTTGGAGCTTCCAATTCTCAACTATAATATAATTAATTTCATTTTTGCTACACAAACCACTTGAATTGAATGTGCACTAGTATGTAGTATAAGTTGGGTAAATAGGTTAAGGAGTGTATTCACCAGAATGTATCCCAAAAAAAACAAAAAACAAAAAACAAATTGTACTCACCACAACCTGCCATAAGAAGCCATAATGATTCCTGGGTTCAGTTTTTTCTTTCTTTCTTTTTTTAATGGTGACCCAGGGTTCACAAATTCCGAGGCAACTAGAACCTGCTACCTGCTACCTGCTAAGTTCTAGGATCATGTTTCCCAAAGGTATTTAACGTCTCTTTTGAGTTGGAAATGATAGGTGAAAATACGATCCCAATAATATATTTGTGCAGAGAATCATAAGATAAATTAATAATAATAAAAGAAGAAAAAATATATATTAAAATAAATAATTACAAAATTATAATTATTAATTTATCTTTATATAATTATGATATATAGTTATAATCATTCACTATGACCATGTTATATTTTTTTTTATACGAAAAAATCCATTTTCGTCAAGCGCCAGCCTTCTATCATTTTCTTCTCATAATTAAACATTGAGTTTTATAAGAGTTATGTTGTAGAAAAAATGATTGTGTAATGTTATAGAGATTCATTTTGCGTGAGTAATTTTTTTTTTCTTCAAAAAATGTGAGTCCCACAAAATGTTGTGTGTGTAGAAAAATTTGTTGTGTCATGTTAAATGACAAATGCAAATCCCTTAAACATTTAAGTGAGCGTTTGATTTTTTAAAGAATAAAAGATACGATAATATAAAAATACTTGTTCAATATTTAATTTTGCAATATATAATCATATGACAGAGAAAAATAAAATATGAATGTAATTAGGTCTACATGCGATTTCAATCTTTAATATTTTTTCGTAACAATCATATTTTTTCAAGCAAAAAAAAAAAATACTCCTGCAATCTTTCCAATTTTTAACAAAGGTGAATGAGGTGGTCTACTATTTACATGGGTGGTTTAATTTGTTACTGAGTAGAGTATTTTAATCGTTGAATCAATGAATTTAATATATTTAAATATATCATTTTATATTTAATCTATTTATATTTGAAAATTTAAATAAATTAAAGTTACCGGTGGGTTCACTAAAATATTATTCTTAATAAAGTACCACACTAGTCATTATATAAAATGTTTATCACGTCACTAACTTCTGTTAATAATAGGACGGAAGACCAACGAAGGGACTTGGATTTTCTTTCAATTAAAAAAATTCAAGGATTTAATTGGACAAAAAAATTATAGAGAAACCAAAATTGTACATCAACTATGATGGAGAAACACAAATTATAATCAAGCCAATAAATAAATTGAGGGCGAAAAATAATAAATTTAGGGAAGCTTTATATGGAACCTCACTTAGACCTTTACCTCCACTTAAAATTAACTTACTGAAGAAAGTTTTTAAGAAAAAGAACCACTTCTCTAAGAAAGGCACCATTCATTTCAATTTAATGTTTATACGCCCAAACACAACACAAGTTAACTTTCTAATTCAATGGAATTTTTTACATGTTAGTACAAAATTCCTGAAAATTGCTATTTGGACTTTTGAATTGTTGATATTGGGTCACTCATACTTACTGTCCCACATACAGAGTTCCAATAACAGCATGTTTGTCTAGATGGTTTATAGGCCCAAAATTACCTGTTAAAAAACTGGTTCAACACTTAAATGAGGTGTGAGTGAGTTTCATTTAACCTTGCTAAAGGAGTAACATATGTTAGTTGGTAAATGAGAACTTAGTAGGTGAAAGTGAGAACGTGTATTCGATCTTCTCCAATATCATCTTTGGAAGGAGTTTAAAGTCTTAATCCTAGATCTGCTCCGAATTAAACTAGTCACGCAGCGATGAACCAGTTGAAATATTAAAAAAATAAAAGCAACATACGTGCATTAACTTTCGCTAACGTTATCCTCATATATTGTTATGTAAGCCATTGAATAAGGTCTGATTGTAAATTTTTTGATGTGGATGCTTTTATGTCATGTCATATGAAAACTCTTAACGATTAATTCACACATCAATGATCAATAACTAAAGTTATAATTTTTACTTCCTCGTTCTACGAATTTTTTCATAAAATTTTGAAGGTTTAAATAAAGGGAAAAAGAAGAATAATGTTGTAGGAAAGTTGGTAGATAATGTTATAGAGATAGGGATTGTGGGACCCGCCATTGTTTTCAAAAAACAAAACAAGATGTGGGTCCCACAATTCCTATCTCTATAACATAACCTAACAATTTTCCTACAACATTATACTTTTATTCTCCTTAAATAAATGATTGAGATGTTCCACATAACATGGTCATATTAAAAAATGACATTAGAAGATTAATTCCCAAATGTTTTTCAAATTGTTTAAATAGCAATTATGCATGTTACATCAATCAGGTCATTTTTTAAAGTGATGCAAACTCACTTGAAAACGCCATTTTCGGACTGAAAATCCAAACCTAACCAGCATATGCCATTTTGCTCTGGTAGAAAACTCGGAAATTTGTTACCCAAAATATGACAAAGAAATGAAGACGTTAACCAATACTGTACAAAAAATAGCAAAACAAAACTTAATAAAATATCATACGTTGTCTTGGAATGGAGTGAAAAGAATTATTTAACATTGTGGAAGAATAATTTTTTTTTCTATTCATTTTTTTTTGTCTTATTATATATTTTTTATTTTATTTATATTTCATGAGTTCATATGGCTGCTGGCTCAGGTGACATTAATGTATTATGGTGAAAAGCTTCAACTTCAAGCCACTACTGTATAATTTTTTTTAGACTTAAATGACAGTAGGCATAAATCTCCACACAATCACTCACATAAAAATAAATACATACAGAAAGAACAAAGGATGAAATGTAGCCAAATTAGAATCAGTGATAATTCTTCTTTAATTAATACGTAATGAAAAATAAGTGTGTTTTAAATTACAATTCATCCTTAAAGCTATGAGAAAATACAATTAACATTGGCTTGAGCTTTCCACATAAAACTGCACAAAACTTTTCCCATCTTTTTTTCAAATCCTAACCTTACTATTCTTCTCTTTATATGAATATGGAACTCTGGTTAGAAGGTATATCTTTGACACCCCACCCCACAGAACAGAGAGAAGGGAATTTTACCTAAAGAACACAGTTGTATCAGTGGGATGACAATTAGAGCTTCCAGAAGATCTTGGTTGCAACTAGAATTTTTTCTCTGCCGTGTGATTCAGGTTCTTTATTGTATATGGTAGGCTTCCACCTCACTGCGCGAGCAATGCCAGCTACTTTGTCAATTACTTCAGGGGCATCCCTCACCACAAGAGTTCCCTCTGGCCGCAACATTCGATCTATTTCCACCATCAAATCAACAAGATTACATCTGCAATGAAGTCGTGAAAAGATCCGGAGTGAGCGTAAGAAGAGGAGCCTTGACATAATGGTTAGTGTTCCACCATGTGGACCAGAGGTTACAGTTTCGATTCATGTATTATAGCAGTAGCAGGTTGCCCTTTAATTGTTTATGCATGAAAGGATACTTGATGATAAGATTAAAGAAAGGTATACAAATGTTGAATCAACAAAAGACCTCTCAAATCAATAGGTCAACAGCTGAGGAAGCCAGAAGCTTTGACATTAGATTAGCAGTTTAACATAAAAAATACCTGCTTTTACCAGAAGCTGGATCTTTTATAAGTGATTCAATGCTAGCCACATGGATCAGATCATAACTACGAGGGTATGTTGAAAAAGGTTCACACCTGGGAACATATAACCATACAGCTTAGATCGAAGAAAATTCATCCATTACGAATTTAAATACATTTTCAAATAGATTACATAAACTTTTTTGACTGAAGATCAGAAGCAGGATTCACATTAAATTCAAAAAAAGTTCGAGAGCTTAAGTACATTAGTTTTCCTTTATAATGATACCTAGAAGATTCTCACTCCTTTTCCAGAGAAAGCTCCCTAAAATACAACTAAAAGTTTTATTGAAAAAAGTTTATTATTGCCTAATTGAGCAGAGTTGAATATCAAATGAGAACTTGATTAGATCGAGACATTCTGAGACAAGCATATCTACACACACAAACAAAAAAGATACAATAGAGTAGTAGTTGCCAATAAGCCACAAGCATCATGAACAAGTCAAAACTAGAGTGCAGGAAGCAACTCGTAAGCAACATGATACAGCAGCCAGTTGAATTGGTGTTTTGGCCCAAGACAAATATCATTGCAGTACACAATTTTCCCCCACAATATATCCTATTTTAAAATCATGTCATCAATGAAAAATAGGAAGGTTTCTTTGCCAAGTATTAAGATATATGCCAAAAGTTTAGAATTCTTAACAATCCTGGATAATTCCTTTAAGAGAAAATGCATGAAACTTTCAGCAAAAACTCACCAATCATGATAGACTCCAATAAGGCCTCTGTCAAAGATCACATCAAGAGTGGGAGGCTTTCGAGCTGGAACTACATTCATTACCCACACAGGATCAGATTTTAAGGCTGCTGCAAAACCCCCAAACAATGCATTCATGTCCATGACGTTGCGTACAGCTGGAGTGCCCAACTTTATGTTTAGAGAATTCTTATAGTGTGCAACCCTCCTTAACCAACGCTTAGTGTCCGCCTCATACACATCAACACCATTTTTCAGGAGTGTGGACCTTGGAGGTGCAGCAGTTAGCCTGTCTGGCCACTTGGGAATCATCCCAATAGCATATTCTCCTTTGACAGAAGATGTCCCACTGATACATTTCTTCAATTTGAAGTACCTGCAAAATAACCAAATTAATTTTGTAGTTTGAAGTAAAAAGAGATCTGTTAACAATGATAGCATTCACTCATGTGCTATATGTCTATATCGACACTGGACAAGACACAGAGAAGAAAGGATAATAAAAGGAAGAAAACTCGAACTAGCAATAATCTCCAGGAAATTACCAAGCTTGACTTGGGACATCTAAATCATCACATAAGTCGAGACCAAATTCATTTTGGTTGGGAAGACACGCATCCTCTGCAGGCTTCTTCCAGATCACAGTGTTACCATCTACAGCAATCAGTTCATAACACAAAGCTCTTGCCACAGCCTGGAGATCGGACCATTCTTTATCTTGTTTAGGCCACTGAACAGGGGGACCAGAGATGACTAAATATCCACCAGGGCGAAGTAATCTATCCACTTCAATGAAATAAGTTGCATCTGCAAGGCAGATTTTCTGCATTAGGGAAGTGATAAGTACGTAGAAGACTGGAAGATATGCATACGTGAGCTGCAACGAAGAACTTACTGTAGGCTGTAAAAGGGATCAAACACCGAGAACAATGAACTAAGTCAAATCCAAATGCAGGGAATGGGAGTCTACGAGTACCAAGCATAGCAACAAAAGCTGGTATTCCTCTTTCCAAGGCAAATTGTATCTGTGATTTATGTGAATCTCTTGGAGCAAATGACATTGTTAAAATATTTTGAGATAGTAAATATCCTCCAAAACTAGCAACCTGTAAAAAAAGAAAAGTACTTGCATGTTAAATAAAATCTTTTTAAGTTCTCAAAGGGAAACAGCAAAACAGCTCTTACCCCACATCCCATGTCAAGAGCAGTCCTCAGAACACCTCCATTTATTGGAATGTATTGACCGAGTTTTTCAATATATTGCTCTGCTCCATCTGGAAACATTGTACCCCCACCAGGGAATATAAAGTGTTGACCTTCTAGTTTCATCCATCCCTGGTGACCTTTCCTGTCAGCAATCTTGTTGTGTGGCATGTTGTTGTACCATATCTGCACAGAATATATTAATGCTTTAAGATAGATGGATGGATCAATGAGTGACAAATATCAGCAACATTCTAAACTATGGTATGATATGTTGTTGATGACCCTCATTAAATGTAAAAAAGAAAAAGTGGAAAATACAGAAAGAAAAAATCTTATGTACATTACCTGCTCCAATCCATCCTCTAAAAAAACTTTTCACATTACAGAGAATAATTATAATGGAAAGCATCTATTTCATAAAGCGAAGAGGGAAACCTCAATTAAGCAAAGGTCCATATAAACAAATACATAAAACATCTTTTTCCCAGAGCTCTATCAGGCACAATGAATTTACTCAAGAACAAAGATTTTTCAGATCTCTTATTTAACAAAGGTACTTAACAGAAGAGATTCCACCACACAAAGGGAATTGATTAATTTAACCCCGTCTCTTTTCTGTCTTCCTTTTTCTTATTCTTCCATGCCTCTATCACCTCTTCCTCACTTTCATCACACTGCAAACAGAATTCTAATTTGGCTGATAGCCTCACCTCAAGATTAATAAAGTCAAAACAACAACCAAAAAACCTCTCCTCAGACATTTCAATTCCTATTATGAAGGGAATCTTTTCTGTCCTAGGGTATTCTTGAAACAATGTGGCCTTAGTTGCTCCAAAACTTGCAGCCAGAAAACATGAATATAGCATTCTGTTAGATCAAGAAGAATTCTAAACTAGAGGCACCCATCAAGTCATCTTCCTTCCAAAAAAGACATATTGACGTTGCATTAAGAAGTGATCCTGGTGTGTGACAACATAAATATGAACAACCCAACAGCATAATTATTTTCCTATTTTAATCACAAAGACATATCAACTACTTAAGCATCATACTGGCAACAAGGTCCAGGATCCAGAAGCAGCTCGAAATGCAGTGTCCTTCTCAAGACTCAAACTCCAAAACACTTGCAAGGTTCCAAATAAGAGCTCTATCCAGTCCTAAACTAAAAATCTACAAAAAAAAAAAAAAAAAAAAAAAAAAAAAAAAAAAAAAAAAAAAAAAAAAAAACTCCTTAGCCCTTAGCTCCAAGATAAGCTGATTCACCAAACACCACAACTCCTACAGCATTACACATAACAAGGTTCCATCACCCACATCTAAAAACACCACAATTAACTTAACCAGTGATCTCGGGTTTAAGTCTTATGGAAATGCGTTAAAATTTGATAGGAATAACTTTAGTGCCTATGTGGACTCACCCTGCTCAAATCGAACCAGTCTAGTATTGGATGAACCAATGGATAATATTTATCTAAAAAAACACCACAATTACCAAAAAAAAAAAAAAAAACATTTACTGACTTTCCATTATTTTCTCAGCACACAAACAAAACAATGAACTAACACCACACCTTGTGCAAGCTCTCAGGCCACTGCACCGGAATCTTGTACCCATTAGGCGGCGGAATCAAGCAGAGGGGAGTGTTCTCCGGCGGCGGGCAATGCCTCTCCCTGTAGTAGTTCATCTCTCTACTGAGCTGGCTATTCAGCCTCGGATCCTCGCATGGCATGTGGTCCACTTCATCGGCGGGGCAAGCTTCGATGGTCCGACCCGGCTGTTGACCCGTCTCGATCACCGCCACAAGGCCGTGGCGCTGCCGCGGGTCTGCGCCGGAGAGAAGGAGGGTCTGGCGGCCGGAGGCGGCGAGGGAGTCGCCGAGAGGTGTGTAAACGAGGACGAAGAAGAGGAAGACCAAGAAGAACAACATTGCTGAGACAAGGTCCAGGACCCGCCATTGACGTGGGTTGTGATGGTGGTTGCTGTTGCGCTTGGAAGGTGGCGAATTGGAGTGACCCATTTGGGAAGAAGGTGGATCTGATCAAACCACCATCTGGGTCTTGTGTTTCAGTGCAGTTAGAGAATAAAAATCAGTGCTTTTTGTAGGAATCAAAAGTGATTGCTTGGTGGGGTGTTTCTCAGCTCTTTTTTGTTGTAGAGTTAGAGAAAAGATGTAACTAAGCGTGTTTGTGGTTTTGGTAAATGTTGTTGTGATGTTTTTTTGGGTGTGAGATTTTGTGGAAGTTGCAGGATCTGATTTGCTCAGCTCATATGTATTTTGGAATATAATTTTTTCTTTGGTTAATGGCATTGCAGATTTGTTGATTAGCACACGCATGAATAGAATATTATAAGCCACTGGCTGTTCTGATCTAGTAGTGAGATTGTAACAAACAAATATCTAGAGATTATTAAGAACCCCAGTTTAAATTATTATAATAGGATTTGCGGATGCTTTATTTGTATTAAGGTTCAAAATAATATTATTTTGGGACATAAATCAATGTATTTTTATAATTTTAATTTATTTTAAAGTTATAATAATTTGTATTATTATAATTTTTTAATTTTTTAACTCAAAATCATGTCGTTTTGAGAGTGAATGTAGATAACTTATTTACAATCACTGTATAAATCTTTTTTTATTATAGAGTAAACACTTTTTTTAGTCCCTGACAATTTTTACGAAGTCCTTTTCAGTCCCTCGCAATAAAAAAGGATCAAATTGGTCCCTGAAATTACAAAAAAGGCCATGTTAGTCCTTATGTCAACTCTCAAATATGTAGAGTGACCCTTTTCTTGTACTTTCAGGGACCAATTTGGTCCTTTTTTATTGCCAAGGACTGAAAAGGACTTCATAGAAATTGCCAGGGACTGAAAAGGGTGTTCACTCTTTATTATAATAATGGAAAAAGATCAAATAATAAGTTTAGGGAATAAATTATGGGAGAAGTATTTCTCCGGCACTGGAGATAAAGTTATTTGCAGTGAGCTAAAAATGATATTATTTTTGGAGTATAAAATTAAAAAATTAAAATAATAAAGACTAATATAACCATACAATATATTAGATTTACAAAAATACCTTAATTTTTATCTCAAAACGACGTCGTTTTTGACTTACCGGAGATAATTAATCTCCATTGACCGGAGAAATCCTTTACCCATAAATTATTGAGAAAAGTGTTTATCTTTTTAGATAATACAACTTATATCATTTCACTCTCACAAATTTTTTTGTCCATTCTCTCTCACTTTATCTATCTCTTTCTCTCACTTAATATGACACAACTTTATATCTTTAAAATGACACATACTTTTTCCTAAATTATTTTATCTATTTTTTTATGTCTATTTTGCCTAACAATTTTTCAATACCAATCAGAATTTTAAAAGGAGAGAGAAATAGTATATATTAGTTGAGATTTTGATGTAAAATGTTGGAAAATGATTGACAAAATAAGTATGAAAAAAGATAGGTAGAATAATATCTCCCTAAGTTTAATATGATGTATTAATATTTATCCAACCTACATCTAACGTTTTAAAATAGTAATTATATAAATAAGATTAAGGATAAAATTTCTTTTTATATAGTGATATAAGTTGATCCTCTGCCGTATAATACTTCATCTTATAGTTAATTGTTTTTAATGACGTAATATATTGATGGTGCTAAAAAAAGTTAAACTTATTACGTAGTTATCAGAGTAAGGTAAGATTTCCACATTATTAACACCAACTAAAAAATTGTTGGAATAGAGACTACTCACTATTAGAACAATTAAATAATTACTTTAGAGAAATTTGAATAATGGATTCACCTAAGAATAAGAGTAAAGTATCTACTAAAAAAATAAAATAAGAATAAGCTTGGCAAATGTCGTCGAATTTATCGTAGACAAAGTAAGAATCCAGTGGCTCGAGCTCCATGGTGTAATTAAATAGCCAATCATACAGAGACACCTTACCCAATTTACTGAAGTGTAATTTTTTAAATTTGTAATTGAATTAAATTAATGAGATCATAAATCTTGAAATCAATATTTGATATAATTATATTACCTAAAACTCAATACTAGAGTTTGTTGGTTCATTTCTTAATAAAACAAAAGCCATTATTTATCATAAAAAAAGATATGGTCAGTAAATAAGAATAACGTTTTGCCGTGTCATGAATAAAAGGGAGGAATCAAGTAAAACTTCGTGACATTTTTAGCTATGAATCTTTACGTGAGGAATTGATAAGAACATTTCTTATGGATATAAATATACCCTTAATTTTTTTTTCCATGGTCATGACTCATGACTACTGTGACATTAGTGAAGCTTTCAAAAATGTAACATGGCTCGATATTGCTGCATCGTGGTGTTGACAAAGATTATTTATGTGTGTTTATCACGGTGTTTAGGGCTTTTTGTTGGTACAATGTAGTGAACTCCTGAGTCCTGTTTCATACTTAGCAATTTCCGCGAGTGAGTTCATATAAACATTGGCTTGTGAGACTGGTGGTGAATATTCTTTGCCTGCGGAGCAAGAAAAGTAAAGAATTTGTTGTTTGCAGAATTGCTATCAACTAATTGCCCTATATTTTTTCAGGATAATTTCAAGTGTTTGAGTTATCTTGTTTTCAGTAAAAACATTAAGAAATTATTGTTTCTGTATGTAAACATTTGTAATTTTGTTCTCTCTTATATATATCATGATACTGGGACGTTTATCAGTTATTGTTGAACAAATCTAAAATCTTAATTAACTAAGAATTTAATAGAAAGTAACTTTTTTAGTTCTCAAGGGAATTTTTTTTTTAAAAGAAAAAACTCCGTGGTTTTCAACCATTTGTGCTGGAATTTTTTTACCTATTATAAATCAGTATAAAAGGCAGTTGAGGTAGTGTCTTTCTATTGGCCGGTCGTACCTAGCAGTGGACTAATCAGATAACGAATTTAAATGTGGTCTGAGAAGAGAAAAAATTGAGTGGGGTGAGAAAAAGAGAGAAAAGATTAAAAAGAGAGAAGAGAGAAGAGAATAAATAAATAAAATTAATACAAGTGTCAATTTTTAAATGAAAAGACCACGATAATCTTGAAGGACATTAGAAATTTCCCTAGTTGAGACTTAGTTGGAAGTTCATCCATGTTATTCTGTCATTGGCTAAGAATGGGGGTGGCCAATTAGCATGTACGTGCATCCTGTGTGTTTCTTATTAGTCAAGGATGTTTTTGGGCTAGATTCCGTGGTGGCTTTTTGCCTTAGCCATGTAGGATTTTAATAATCTTTGGGCCTATGATATAGTTTTAGATCACTTTCAAAATCGAACAACTTATTTTACTTCTCTTCTTTAGAGTTAATCATCTATCATCTTCTTCTTTTATTCTCGTACTGAATATAGGTTACAATTAATTACACGATCCACTCACGCATGAGATTTTCGTGTTCAAATTGATGGATTTGGATTTTTAATAGTCATATAATCATGTTATTTAATCATAATCATTCATTAATGATGAGATAAGATAGAGAAAAATATATAATTTTAAATGGGTGATTGTGATCAAATAACATGATCACGTAATCACTTTTCCACATGAGAAGATCCAAATCCCAAATTGACACACATTCACATTTCTATCGTGTTCGTATTAATAAAAAATAATATAAAAAAATTCAATATCGTGTTCTATGTGAACCCGCAAATACGATAGTAATTCACATTTTTGTGGTAAATTATGTTTTACATATAGATTTGAGATTTGTTAGCATATCTATATATATCTCTAATAAAACTTAAAGTACTTTAAAACATCTTAAAAGATTTTTAAAATATATAGCTTTTAATTGAGAAACATTTTTAGTATTTATTTCCGAATTTTATACATTCGAATAAAATTGAGAATCTTAAAACATTAATAAACTTAAATTTGTACTAACACACCAATAGTATTTAATTACTAATATAAAATAAAAGCCATTTTGATACCGAATTTAGAACATACATTCATTTCTCTCTAAACCCTGTAGTTTAAACTTCTATCTAATAGCATAGCAGTAAATAGAAAAATAACAATAGGAAATGAATATCTTGGAACAAATTAATTTAATGTTTTCAATGTACTTTTCAACTATAAGAGTATATACAAGAAATAAGATATTCTTACTACCAAATGTTTGTACTACCAATCTATTACTAATCTAATATAATTATGTACTCCCAAGAGTACATCAAAAGCTTTTTTTTTTTCTCTCTTCAAATTTTTTTCAAAGATTGTCAGCTGAAAAATGAAATCCAACAGCTCAAAAATAATAGGAGATTGATAGCAAGAACATTTGGTATTAAGGATATCCTACCTCAAATAACAATAGAAAATGAATATCTTGGAACAAATTAATTTAGTATTTTCATTCTTTCAAATTTTCTTTTTTTAATGTTTTCAACTATGAAAGAGTATATACAAAAGGCAGCCGTATATGTTGTTAAATGTTGCATAAATGTACGTTTGCAACCTTTACCCACCACAAGGCAAGGCAATATTCAAATAACTTCGGCGTAACATAAGGTGACCAATGCCTATGAATATACAAAATAGCAACCGTGGTCCCGTTATCATCAATGCATAATCACAGTTTTCTAATTAATGACCTAAGATTGTACTCGTGCTTGATAAGATTTGATCTCAGCAACATGGACCTAACATCCCCATCAAATTCCCTTCCAGTTTCTAGAGCCCTTTGAAAGGTGGCATTCCTTTGATCCGCATGTCGTGCATACAAAATTTTGTTGTGTGAATCAATTCGAGCCTGCAAGGATACAATTAGATACATAAGCAATGCATAAAAGATGAGTTGTTTAAACCCCCGGAAATTTTTTAGAGGGTAAAATGAAAAATAGTTCCTCTAAAGTGAATTTGGCTGTAAAGTGTACAAGTAAAAGTATATCCACTACTGAGTTTTAGTGGCTTATAATCACCATTAACTTCAAATTAGATCAAAACATTCTTACTTGTGAGCTTTACAGACAGACTCATTCTAGATAAGCCTTATCCAGGTAAAATAAGCATTTGCTACTTTAAATTCACCAAAAGGTATTTCCCTACTGTCAAAAAATTAGTCGAATGAAATACAAAAATTGTAGATTGTTGCCATTATAAATTAAACCTGGTTGCGCAACAGAAAATTGAGGAAAACAATACATGGTAGCTTCAACCACACCTGTATCTGATTATCAGTAATCAAAGCCTCAAGTTCCTTTTCAAGTCCAGTAACAGTTGTCTTGAATGCATTAGCCATCATATGTAAATCAACAGACACAAACGGGTGTGTATACTGGATAAGGGCTTTGTGACGGATTAGATCATAAAGTGTCTCAACATGGTCGTGCAAATGTATGTCAAGCAATAAGTTTTCTTTAAGTTTCCCTAGGTACTCCAGACACGATGCATAATGGCTGCAAAGAGGAAGATATCAATATTTACAAAGAGAAACATGGAAGGAAGGAAAGTAAAACACATAAAACAAAAAAATCTAGTAACATGCTCGCCAAAAGTAGTCAAATAGGGTAAATATTAAAAGTGCAACCACTTTTCACCAACACAACATAGAAAATACTGTTTTGAAAAGTTGTTAGTTTGCAGGGAGTAATTTACCTTGTTAACAATAAAAGATTCCCGTAATACACATACAACATTCATCAATTTATTACATCTAAGCACAATCATGATTCACAAGAAATATCCAACCCCAGACACCATTCTCAAATAATAGCATTCACCATGTCCTCCAACACTACCTCTTAAAAACAAGAATAAAAGATTCCGGCAATAGCCATAGAACATCCATCAATTTATGACATTAATAATCAACCATAAGAAATAGCCAACCCCAGACATCAATGTCAAGTCTGTGAGCTCTTAACACTCCACAATATTAACAAGAACAAAGGATTTCTGTATTCATCAAGTTAATATAGGGCCACTTGTTTGTTCTTAATTAAAGGAAAAAGCACTTTTTTAATAAAAACACGTTTAAAAAATTTATAATAATTACACAAGTCTTTCTTTTAAAAAAGGCAAAAACATCAAAAAATAAAGTTGTTAAGTGCTTTTCTCATAAGCAAAAAATAGAAGCTATATCATAAAAGCACTTTTTTAAATAGCATAAACAAACAGCTCCTACGTCAATAATCGTTTTAAGAAATAGCCAACCCCAGATACCAATGATAACTAACAGCATTCTCCGTGCATACATTCCAATCCATTTCTTTTTAAACCTAGGTCATTTACATACATATGCAGCCCCAATTCCACCAAATTGGGAGTCTTCATAAATCTGTTTTTAATTCAGTTAGGCAAGAAAAAGAAAATGGGATGAGTAATGATCACTCTGCAGAGAAACAATAAAGAGCGCCAACTTGCCTTGAATAAAAATCATTTATCAGTTCCCTTACTTCAGGTACTAACTCTAAGAAATTCCGAAAGTGGGTATTGTCTATAACTTTGCTCTGCAAACATAAAAATAAAAACAGGAAGAGAACATAGTCAATATCTTACAATGTTCATTTAGAAGCATATAATCATTAGAGTACATACCTTTAACTCTGTCCGATCAAATGTAGCAAGGGCACAAAGTCCCCCATAGGTTGCAACATCTTGAGGCGCAATTACTTCATTGTAGTGACTCCCTAGTTCTGGGCCCGTTTCTAAAAACTGCATCAGATAATGAAGACAGTGTAACCAAAAGTTATGAACAATAAGGTTAACAGGTTATCATCAAACAATGATACATGAATATTGAATCCTCAAACTATTACCGAGGGATTTCATATCTCATGCAATTATCATAAGAGTGCTCATGTTGATTCCAAGCAGAAGTAAAGTGAAAAATATAGATTCTGGGAGAATTCAACCATGGTAAAAGTTGACAGGGCCAATATTCTTTCTTTTTTGGTGTATTATAATGATATAATCCCTATCAATATTGGCATAAGTCATAATAAATGACAAATGTGCTTTCTCTTCAAGTTGGTAATTAAGACAAAAACCACCAACACACATGTCAGATCAAACTCCAAAACGAACTGCTAAAAAGCTTTAAAGCTGGTCTCTGACTCTCTGTCACTCATTATCCATTACATTATCTCCATGAATGCATTTTTCTTGAGCAACTCCTTTGAAGAAAAGAAAAAAGACTTTAGATATCGCCTCCATCCATAAAATAATTACTACCATAGACCAAAATACTTATGCCAGAACAAAGGACAAAACCAACACCATGAGATTTCATCAATGAAAGCTGTTAAAGATTGGTATCATTGATTGATAAATTCATAACAAGCTCATGCTTGAACCAAGAAAAATGCCTCGCCATAACTATTAATCAAGGACAGATTTTTCCTCAAGCACCATAAGATTCTCATTATTGCAATCCCCCTTCATAATTGATCTAGCCTCCTAGCTAAAATTATACCATCAACTTTCAACAAAAGAAAAGCTCTCGTAGCAAATGCAAAGCAGCAAGCACAATCCAATATGAATATCACAATGATCAGGAACAAACCTTTCGGGCAGCAAGCTTGTACTTTTTGGCCACTAGATTGGACAACCCAGCAGCACAACGGAGCTTTGCAACTGTTATCTGGTCAAGAGCCTCCGGTGTCTGTTCTGCCTTGCCAACATAGCTTGTAACATGAGGAAACTGACCCATTTCGATGCTGACAAGAATTGCATTCATACACATATGAATAATGTGCTTTGATGTAGTGCAATAATCCCGAGTACGAGCAAAACTCTTAAAAGCATCCCCCAACTGACCATGAGCATAATAAAAGTCCCCAAAATCATTGTATCCCATTCTTATGCTTTCTTTAATCAAATTTGTCTGCAAAATTGAAAACAAATTTGAAGGAATACATAGACAAAATCAGCAAAAGTGATTTAATTAAGGTCATACTATTATCATATACAATACAATACACAGTTTCTAAACTACCCATCTAGTTTCTTTACCATGCCAGAAAAATATTTTTTTAAAAATAAAAAATAAAAAATAATGTAAAAAAAGTTGCTATATGTATCTCTAGCACACTCAAATCAAACCCTCCAAAATCAGAAGCAACCAAATCCAAAATAAATAATAAAAATTAATTTAAAAAAAGAAAAATTGAAACCGTTGATTATAGAAGAATTAATACCCTATAGGCATTGAGTTCATTATCGAGCTTCTCCTTCTTGAGCTCGGCCCTTCGATCAACGGCGTCGCACCAAGCGCCGTCGACGGCGTAATCGGGGCCCAAACGGCAGTCGATCTTGTGAGCGACTTCTCTTAAGAGCTGCGTGTCCTCTCCCTTCTTGATCTCGTCGTAAGCCATGCGAAGCGCCTCCAGCTGCACGGCCGAGTTGTCGCCGCAGTGATCGGCGATGAAGAGGAGGCGCGCGATCTTGGTGCGACCGGCGTAGAGGCTCGCGTAGGCCTCGATGTCGAACTGGTCACCGCTGATAATCGGACGGTGGCTCCGCTTCTCTCCGTCGTCGCCGTTGGCGTAGATTTCGTCGATCATGACACCGGAAGAATCGTCGTCGGCGTCCATGTGCGGGAAGAACCCTAACGGAGAAAATCCGAATTGGGGTTAGGGTTTTTGTCTTCTTTCAATGGTGAGCGTGCGTGTGTTCTTTGTAGTGAGAGTGTCAGACTTCGATGAAATGCATGTCATTGTTATCCCAACGGTTGAACTTATTTGAGTTTCTATTCTAACACACATACCAAACATTTTAGTATTTAGGGGAAGGATATACTTATAAATTATTACGTGTATTTAATTTTTCACTTGTTTTGTAAGCATTTCAAATAGCTAACCCATAATAATTGAATTAATAATAATAATAATAATAAATATACACGCAGATCATACACGTTACACTCTCAATTTCGATTATTGGTCGTATTTATATTTAAAGATTTTGTTTTATTAGATATTTAAATCGTTACATATAAATAAATTAGGATTTTTTTTCCTCACGGTTACATGAGCTAACATCTCTTATACCGTAGACATAATAAGTAATGAGATCCACGCTTGTTGAAAAAAAAAACAAGAGTAAATTTTTTTTTTTCTTCTCAACAAAAAATACAGAACTCATTTTAATTTCTTAGGAAAAAAAATACCAATGTTAGTTCTTTTTTAGGTATTAAAAATGATCTTATCTGAATTTCAGAAGAACCACAATTTCAAAGAACTAAAATTTTAAACAATTCCCAATTCAACCTTTTTTTTCCTCAAGGATAAAAAGGGTATTTATTAAAAAAATAAAAAAGAGAACAACACCAATTTTGATGTCTCAAATCTCTAACAACATATAAAAAATGATTTTTCATTAAATCAATGATCAAGATTTGATATAAAACTTCTTATTCTTACCTTGCTGTAAGAATAATGCTACCCTAAAAAAATTTAAATCGTTAGGTTTATATAATATTGAAAATGAATTAACAAAGAATGAAAAATCATCAGAAGTTGAAAAATATCAACTCAATTTTGATTAGAGTTGAATTGACATATGAGTTTAATAGGTTTGAAAGTATAATGAATATTGAGTCAAACTTGAAAAGGGCTTTTGATATTAACGAGTCTTTATTTAGCGGAATGAAGGTTATATATACTTTGTTTTTTAATTGCACTTGTAGAACTATATTTATCAGAATATTATACACATTTTGTCTTTTCTGTTTTCCTGTTCTATATTCGTCTCATTAATATATATTATTCATTGGTAACATGGTACTTCTTTTTCACTTCAACGTTTCAATTTTAACTTTCAGACATTTGGTTAATTGGATAACTTCTCATTTGATAGCTTTCTGATATATTTGGTCTTTTGGAGAACCATTACAGGATAGACAAGCCTCACATAAAGGGGGAAAAAAATTAGGGGCTATTAATTGCTGTAAAGAGATTTTCACTTTGGACCACCCACAGTAACTGGGGTTGGGAAAGAATAGAATTCTTGAGAAAAAAAATTTGACAAGAAAAGAAAAAGCACATCAAATTAGAGCTTTCTGTGTTGATTTTGGTCATGGGGTGGTGCTGTCCAATACTGCTTGACTGCATGTAGTACCTTTTCTCTTTGGTGAGGTCCCTTTTCATGGTTTGCAAGTCTAGTATCCCATTGCATTGCTTCTGCAAACTTTTGCACCTTCATCAACACATCCACATCATCACGCAATATTACACTACCTTGTGGCCTCAAAATCCGATCCATTTCAAGAAGAATGTCCTCCATGTTGCATCTGTGACAACATTGATTTGATATATTATAAAGTTATTTAATAGAATCACTATTGAAATAGTTACTTGTCAATTTCCAAAATTTATTTTTAAAACCAGGAGATGATGTCCATGTAACTTTTTAGCTAACCAAGTTGACAATTTACCTGTTCTGGTAGAGGCTAAAAATTGAATCACCATGTATGAAGTCATAAGTTCGTGGGTAAGTAGACATGGCTTCACACCTGAGAGGGGACAAAAGTAGTTAGTAATAAACTTCAACTACCATGTGCTGAAAAAGTGTTAAGCGGCATAGGTTTGGTTTCAGTCCAAGATAATACTAGATTGAAAACAAGTGTATCTTTCAAACAGTTTCCTGTCTGTAGTAAAGGACAAAATTTGGTAGCACTTGTGTTAAGCATATAAGCAGAGATAATCAGCAATTAAACTATCTTTTTCCATAAAAATGCTATTAGTGTGGGATTGACTATGATTCTTTTAATATAATCAACGTGAGCTATGCCCCTGAGGGCAAATTTTGGAGCTGCGGTAATTGCTCCTTATGATCAGAATGTCATAAGTTCAAGTATGAGAAATAGTGTCTTTTAACATGAGAGATGCCCCCAAGGGTGAACCTTGGAGTTGTGGTAAAATTGCTCCTTGTGACCAGAATGTCTTTTAACGTGAGACATGCTGCTAATCTAATTAGTTAGTCAGAGGGACATGTTTGAATTATGTTTTGAAAAATAACTTTTAAATTTTCAAAACAAAAGAATATGTTTGATAACGCCTGTTTCGTAAAAATAATTTTAAAAATTATAACTGTTTTTTAGGTTTTATAATCAAATTTAGAGAATATGTATCAAGTATTCTTGTTTTGTGTTTTGACTTTTAACTTAAAAAAAAAAAATACTTATTTCATTAATTATTCTACAAAAACAGTTTTAAGAAGAAGAAAAACAAAACACAATCAAACCGATTCTAGCTTCCACTCAACTAACTAAATTGCTTGCCTTTAATAAACTACTCTACTTTTCCCTAGAATGAGTCTCTCACCTTTAATTTACCCATATTAAGCAAATGGAAGAAAGACATACCAGTTCTGATAGGTTCCAATTAATCCACGTTCATATATGACACCAAGTGTGTTGATCTCAGCCTCAACAGGGACAATGTTCATGACCCACACAGGATCATCAGTTAGTGCAGCTGCAAAGCCTCCCAAGTAAGCATTCATATCAAGTAGATTACGATATCTCCCACGTTCAGCTAGCTGATAGTCGAGGGTCTTGTAATATGCTACTCTCTTCTTCCATAACTGGGAATTTTCTTGGAACATGTCAGCTGTAATTCCTTTCAAACTTCCACTGCTAATCCTTGGGGGAATTGATGTTAGTCTCTCAGGCCAATTAGACAATGCCCCACCACTAACATCTCTGACATCATTTACCTCAGGCATTGGTGTCAAGCAGGTATCCATTTTAGTGTACCTACAATGAAAAAAGAATGTTGAAGATAGCAACAATATAGAAAAAGGTGCATAAAAAAGAAACAAGTGTTGGAGGGGCCCAAAAGAATCTTCTTCTCTTTTGAGCTGATCAACAAGATTCAAGAACCTAAAGGAATGGAGTAAGAAACAAGGTGTAAAAATGCAACTCAAGCTTATAATTACACTGACTACTATCTTTATCATCCTAGTGGTTTTGGTATCACTGCTAAACTCTCTTTGGCAGCAAGCATAATTTGCTTTTACCCTTCAAAAAAGAGAAACTGCAAAAGCTATGCCCCAAAAGCAAAATCAATAGCATAAGGGTCTAACATATTACATTATCTTAGAATTATCCGGCTAACATGTTAATGACATCAATTGCAAAACAAGAAAAGGCCATATTACCATGCTGTGTCTGGATCCTGTGCCTCACAGAAGGGTCTATTCTTGAAGACCTTTCTTGTTATTTTGCAATGAATATGATTGGTAGGCTTCTGCCATATTGCAAGGTCATCCCTCTGTGCCAATTTTTTCCAGCATAGACTTTTTGCCACTTTCTCAATTCCATCCTGTTCATCTTTGAGACTCTCACGAGTCCTCTCCCATCCTTTCCAACGATTCTCCCAGTTTATTGGTGGCCCTGATAGAATCCAATAGCCACCAGGACGTAGTACTCTATCAACTTCAGTCAAGTAAATTCCCTCTGCAAAACCAGAAATTAACAAATTTAGTGTCACATTCACACAAAACTAACTAACTGGCTTCTTAAAAATGTGAAATGTGATTATGTTCAAAGAATGGATGTACCATACTGGCCCCAGGGAATAAGGCAACGTGAACAGTGAGCCATGTCAAATGCTCTTGAAGGGTAAGGAAGCCTAATTGAGGCAAGAACTCCAATCAATGCAGGAACTCCTCTTTCAAGACCAAATTGAACCTGAGCTTCGTGTGTATCTCTTGGTGCAAATGACACTGCTAAAATGTCACGTGACAGAAGATAAGCTCCCCAACTTGCAACCTGAATAGTAAATTATGTAACTTGTCAGAGACCAAATGAAAAATATGTCATACACACAAAGATTGAAATTCTGCTAATTAAAAACGTCTAAGGTGGGTTGGTTAGTGGTATGTTTCAAATCTTTAATAGATGCACACATTCCATTAAGGTGATGTTAATGGATGTGACTACACAAATGGAACATGTTTTGACATGCCATAAAAAATACAAGCGAAAGAGGATACCCAATCAAAATGTCTTTGTAATAAACTTATCCCTATTGTTATTAGGGTTTTATAAGAGTTATGTTGTAGGAAAAGTGATTGTGTTATGTTATAGAGATTCGTTTTGCGTGCCGAAGTTTTTTTTTTTTTTTTGCTGCGGGCCCCACAAAATGTTGTGTGTGTAGGAAAATTTTTGTGGTCATGTTAAATGATAGATGATAAACTCTTGTTATTATTACGTGGGGAGAAAAAGCGAGGTCTGATGAAGTAACTTATAAATCAGGTGAGGGAAGCATGATTAGATGGTTGGGTAGTAATCAACATCTATCTCTATTATCTCGTACTGTGCTTTCCACCAATTCTTCAACTAACAACATAACTATTATTATGATTATGATTAGCACTAAGTGAATTAGAAATACATTTATTAGTAGTTCAATAATGAAAAGTTTTATCAAATCTTTAAGCAAAAATTCCTCATTCTTTCAATTGAATAAGACAAGACAGAAAGAGAAATTATCTTAGTACACTCTGCCTTTTACTTTTCTTTTATCAAAATGGCACTTTACTTCAGTTTGAAGAATTTGAGTAGATTGTTTTGGAAACTAGTTCTAGGTGATTCCCATTTTTTTCTTTTCTCTCTTTACAAGAGGACAAATTATTGTTCAGACTTTACTGTTTCCAACATCTCTCAAGACGTTATCTATAGCTGCATTTCCAAACATTCATGTTCATCTACAGCGAGATCCTTTGAGATTATATAATGTCAAAGAAAACTTAGTCACACGTTTAGGATTGGACAGCCTACTCAATCACAATAGTATACTCAAAATAAAATATTACATGATTGACATATTGACAACAGATTATAAAATATTAAACATACAAAAATAAAAAGTCAAACATGGAAAATATTATAAAATAGATTAAAAAATTATGAGAACATGCTGAAACATAAAAAAAAAATTGTGGGATTTAACCAGTTTTCTATCTGTTTCAACCAAGGACGGAAACAAAAAATAAAAGGGAAAAATCAATTTTCATTTCTTACGCCCACTTGATCTTTCGAATCATATATTCCCATAAAAACCAATTATCTCAAAGCATCAAAGTAATATATATATATATATATATATATAGAAAAAAATTACTCTTATGCTACATGTGACAACTTTCTCTCTTACACACTCTCCGATAACTGTGTCATCTTTTTCTTTTCTTTTTATTTTTCAGGCGGTGGAGTCCATAAATTTATGACATGAGATAACTTATCTTTTAACATCCTTTAACATTAGATTAATAAAACTCATATATATATATATATATATATATATAGGATATTGTGACACGCAAGTTATGTTACACTCATGTGACACCCAAATTTAAAGTGAAAGCATTAAATATGGGAAATCATAACCATACAAAGGTAGAAATAAATATAAAATATTAAATTTGGAAAATCATGACCATACAAAGATGAAAATAAATATAACCGTTGGATCAACATAAGCGATCTAACGGTGAGATTGACTGGGTGTCACATGGGTGTAACATAACTTGAGGTGTCACAATATCATATCTCGTATATATATATAGAGAGAGAGAGAGACACACTCGCATTTATGATTTAGAATCCCAATTAACTTACATTCTCTTTTGATTTCTCAAACATTCCAAATCAGACAAATTCAAATTAACACCAACACCAAAATCCTCTAAAAAGTTTAAAAAAACAGAGAAAAATAAAAATAAAATTCTCAATTTCTCAGGTCCACCCTTGAAAGAGTGGGGCAGTCACATGCAAAGGGTTCATTATTCTATTAAGTAGTTAAACTACCCGTAGCGGCCAGGTGAACCACCCGGTTCACCAAGACGAAGCGGACGATTCACCAATCAAAAACAACAATCAGAAAATTGCATAGTTTCTTTCCTCTGTTTTGCAAAAAAAAAAAAAATTTGCATAGTTTTATAAACAAACAGGCAAAAATTGAACAAGAAAAAGGCACTAGGAAAGAATTAAAGTTTTTAAAGAACCGAATTCGCCGCCACCGGTTCAAGAACTAACGAACCGGGCAAGCGGTTCAAGAACATGCTTACATATACATACCCCACAACCGGTGTCTATGGCGGTTCTGATGGACCCATCTTTAAGGTTGATAATCTTTCCGATGTCATCGATGTACGCGCTGGCGCCACGTGGAAACATGGTCCCACCACCAGGGAAACTGAACCGGTCCCCTTCGAACCGGACCCAGTTCTGGTTTTTCTTCTCTATCGTCAACTCCTTGTGCGGCACGTTCGCATACCACACCGAGTCGCGACTCGCCGGCCACCGGAGCGGGACGCGGTACCCGGCCGGAGCAGGAATTCGACACCGCAGAACCTCCTCCGGCTCAGGGCAGTGCCTCTCCCGGTACATCAGCCTATCACGTGGGAAACTCAGCGACCTCTGCACGTCCTCGCATGGCGTGTACTCGGACTGCGAGGCGTTGCACGGAGGCGCGTTGAAAACACGCGCCTCCTCTTGCGGCGGGTCCGGAACGTAGTGGTGGGCGGAGAAGTCGAGGTTGGGCGATTGGGTTGATGGGTTGGAGGTGGAATTGGAATTGGAATTGAGATTGAGGTGGGGGCATACGCGGCTGCCGGAGGAGAGGGTGTCGGAGATGGCGAGGGTGGCGGCGGTGGGTGAGTTCTGCCAGAGGCCAAGGAAGTAGAAGGTGATGCAGAGGAAGGTGGTGAAGGGGATGAGGAAGAACCATGTGTGGAGCCTGTTGGGTTTCTTGAATGTGAAGTTCTGAAAAAGAATTGCCCAGTTCGCCATTGATGGTGGTGGTGTAACTGGTGTTGGTGTTTCTTTCAGTTCTTGATCATTCACAGTGAAGAAAGAGAGAGAGAGAGAGAGAGGGGCCAAGTGTTATATGTTATGTTTTCGTAGAGTGGTGTTAGGTGGAAGACAGCGCTTATATATATACAAATGTGTATAGAGAGAGAGAAAGAGAGGGTGTGATGTTGTTGAAGATTTGGGAAGCGTTGAAGAAGAAGAGAGAGAGAGAGAGAGAGGGTCTTGTATGGTTTGAACTAAGTGGGTGTGTGTGTTTGTGTGTCTGAATTGTGTAGAAGATGAATGGGTTGTTGTGTTGTAAACCTGTAATGGCATTAGCAATTTGGGAAGCACATATAGTTACGAGTCTACGATTCTTTTTGGTAGAAAGTGTTTATTCTTTTAAATGACACAACTTATATCCTTTCACTCTCACTAGGCACACCTTTATATTTTTTTGTTCATTCTCTCTCCTCTTGTATATGTCTCTTTCTCTCACTTAAAATGACACAACTTTACATCATTTAGAATGATACACATTTTTTCCATCTTTTTCTAACTAAATACGAATTTTTATGTTACCAATATTTACGTTTTATTTTATTTTTTTATCCTCCTTTTAAAGTCTATCAAATTAATAATGATTTAATTTCGATTTATACCATCCAATCAAATTAATTATTACAATTAACATCAAGAATCAACTTGACGGACATACTTAAAAGCAATAGTACACACACAATATAATGGATATGGAAACAAATATTTTTTTTAAAGAAATAATAATGAGTATCAAATGGAAAGAGGATGTTTGCGGGGAAAAAAATTATCTTGGAAAAGAACAAGGAAGACCCGGATTTGAGATATTGGTAAGCAATTAATATTAGATTTATACTCCTTCCTTTCGAAACAATTGTCATGTTTTGTATAAAGTTAAGAAAGTTTTTAAATATTTTTTATTTTGGGTGCATATAATAACGTTCAATTAAATAATTATTTTAAGAAAAAATATTTATTCTTTTAAAGGATATAACTTTGTGTCTTTTTAGATCCTAACTATTGATTTCTGTCACTCAACTGTTATAATTTATTGTGAATTATTAATTAATTAATAAGTTTGACCCTAATAAATTATAAACGTTGATTGACGAAAATCAACGGTTAGGATCTAAAATGACATAAAATTATGTTCTCGATTACAAACATTTTTTGCTTATTGTATTGATATTTTCTTTCATTTTATTTAGTAAAAATACTAAAAAAAATATTTGTAACTTCTAAAAGTTTTGAAATAACTAATAATAAATTAAAATTTCAAAGTAACCATTATTTAAAAAAAAATATTAGTATCTTCTAAAAGTTTAAAATAACTAACAATAAAATAAATTTTAAAAGTAACAATTATTTTATAGAAAAACTGCATTTTTAATTAGAATTGATGTTTGTAGTGAAAAGGGGTATAATTTCATTGAATTCATTCCTTTCTAATATGACTCTAATTGATATTTCCATTGATGTTTAAATTTATTTATTTTTTGAGACTTGTGGAAAAATTAAGGGTGTCAAAGCAGGTTATATGAATTTAACACAATATGAATATACGCAATATGAATACGATATAAAATTTTATTCATGCCAGAATCTTCAATATGAACACGACACAAAAATGTTGCTAGTTGACACAACAAAACACGAATCACACGTAAATTATGGGTCAAAATTATAATTGATAAAAATAAATTTAAAAAAGGATCAAAATTTAAAAAATATGAATCGAATTCGTGTTGACACGACACGTAATTTTTGCATGTTATTTGTTCAATACAAATATGACACAAATTTTTTTCAGCTCAAACACAAATTTTCATATTGTGTTTCAGGATTATAATCTGTTTTGACACCATAGAAAAAACATATAAAACACAAACAGAACACTGACCACGCATCATTATGATGAGGAAGGAGGATCCCATTATATTCCTTTGGAGTAAATTACAATAATCGTAAGGAGGACTATAAAAAAGATGCACATTCCATTCTTCGGCATATCCACTAATCCACATGTAGGGTTGTGCAAAAAAACTGGTTCACTTGCCCTGCCATTGATCCGACCTCGACCCGACCCATAAATACTCATATTTTTTGAACTGGTTTAAATACTGACCCACTTTTATTTGGGTCAGTTTTAGACTTGACTCGTTTTAATATTGACCCACTGACCCAAAACTTGACCCATCCAATTATGTGAAAAAAAAATCACAATTACATTAAAAGAAAAGTTTCAAAGTAAAACAATTACGTCAAAATTTTTTATGGAAAATATTTTCATAAAAATTTTACAGATTTCAAATTTCTGCGAAAGTTTTCAACGAAAATATTTCCGTCATCAAAAAATTTTGACGGCAAAAAATTTCATCAAAATTCTTTACAGATTTCACATTTTGGCGAAAGTTTTCGACGGAAACATTTTCGTCATCAAAAAATTTTAACGGCAAAAAATATCGACGGCAAAAAATCTCATCAAAATTCTTTACAGATTTCAAATTTCAGCGAAAGTTTTCGACGAAAATATTTTCGTCCTAAAAAAATTTTGACGGCAAAAAATTTCATCAAAATTCTTTACAGATTTCAAATTTTGGCGAAAGTTTTCGACGGAAACATTTTCGTCATCAAAAAATATCGACGGCAAAAATTTCATCAAAATTCTTTACAGATTTCAAATTTCGGTGAAAGTTTTCGACAGAAATATTTTCGTCATCAAAAAAATTTGACGGCAAAATATTTCATCAAAATTCTTTACAAATTTCAAATTTTGGCGAAAGTTTTCGACGGAAACATTTTCGTCATCAAAAAATTTTGACGGCAAAAAATTTCGACGGCAAAAATATTCATCAAAATTCTTTACAGATTTCAAATTTCGGCGAAAGTTTTCGACGAAAAATTTTCGTTAAATTTTTTGACAAAAAAAAATTTTCGGCGAAATTTTTAGCGAAACACATTTCCATCGAAAATTTTCAACTAAATATTTTCGTCAAATTTTTTGATAAAAAATTTTCATCAAAATTTTCAACGAAACACATTTCTATAAAAAAATTTCGTAAATTTTTTTGACAAAAAAAACATTTTGACGAAAAAAATATTCTGTCAAAATTCTTTAGAGAATCTAAATTTCGTCGAAAGTTTCAAATGAAACATTTCCCTCGAAATAATTTTCGTCAAAATTTTCGTTAGAACACATTCCCATCGAAATTTTGAACGAAAAACATTCCGTTAAATTTTTTGACAAAATTCTTTTTTCGTTTAAAACATTTGATGGAAGAAATCATTTTCGTCAAAATTGTTGACGGAAACTAAATTTCAATAGAAAATTTTTTTTTGTACAAATTTCGACGAAAAAATAATTTTGTGACGAAATTTTCGTCTTTTGCAACGTAAAAATTTCGACAAAATTTTGTGAGAAAACCAAGTCAAAAACGGGTCAGGTCAGATTTGACCCAGTTCAGAAACCAAGTCAGACCCACTTCAGAAACCAAGTCAGGTCAGATCCAAATTGGTTCTGAACTAGTTCAACAAAATCCAATCCAAGTCAGACCTGACTTGGATCAAATTAAAGCGGGGCGAGTCAAAATACCTGACCTATAAAAATTAAGTTGGGTCGAGTCGGACAAAAACCTGACCCGACCTGACCCATGCACAGCCCTATCCACATGCATACATATCTACATGTATGATACACTCTAGTCGTCCAAGATTTTCATACAGGGGTATAAATAAATCAAGTGGTTTATTAGGGATTTATTATCCATCCTATGTCAAATCTGATACATTATATTTAATAAAATAGAATAAATTCAGAAAGCAAACCACAAACCTATTTATACAAAGCCTGGCTTGCAAACCTATATATAGATTAACTTATATCATATTATTTATTTTAATTAAAAATAAAATAAAATAATTATTTTTATAATTTTAGTTAATATAAAAATATTATTTTATATTTCTTTTCTAATTCTTGATAGGTATTAAAAATTTAGTATATTTAGACAAATTAACAGGCCTACTTTTTTATTTTTGTAAAGGTTAGTCTAAACCTATATTTTAATTTACGCTAGACTAATAAATTAAATCAGACTTAAAAATAATTTCAAGTAAATACGATTTATTTAAACCAAAATGTAACCTAATCTTGTTCATTTTACATCCCCGGTCAATGATGGATAAAGCATTAAATCCCGCTCACGAGAGTGGCAAATGGGTGATATTTTTCGCAGCTAGAGACTTGACGAGCTTAATTAATGGGTACCGTTGAGTCACCTTTCAAAGTCCTTATCGGGAGCTACCTCCAATCTAATGAGCATACCCGACACCTCCATAGCCAGTCCTGCGCCCATTCATAATACACGATTTGTCTGTATTCAATTTCATCCATGTAATCAGAGTTTCGTGCTTGAACATGGGAGAAATACCACTTGACGTAAGTATTTTTTATAAATATTTCAATTGATTCATCGTTTTGTGACTAGTTCGATTCGAAATTAGTTTCAAAATTAAAGTTTTAAATTCATCTCTCAATTGCTCAATTCTCTGACACCAACTAACGTAAGGGTTGTTGTTATGAACAAAGTTGTCAACAAACCTAATTGCACCTCTAACCACATTTTTAGGGGATGAACTGGTTCCATTAAACACCAGGTTATTTTTGTCTTTCCATGTACACCAACAAACTGTTATTGAAGACAGTGGGTGATATTATATCACTAATAGATTTGAACCCATGTATAAAGCAGAGGAGGTAGATGATCAGGATTATCACTGTGTAATTAAAAATATTAAAAACAAACTTACTTGTCAGTGGCAGAATAATGAAACAGACAGAATAAAAGGATGAATATATGCAGTATAAGAGGAATTAAATCCGAGCCCACAGAACGTGTCTCCTTAAGACAATTTGCCCCCTCACTGATGCCTAAGGTTGATGGATGTAACACCCCGTTCTAGAACCGGTTTGTTAACATCGCATTATGATATTAAGCGTAGTTACAATCACATGGGTTCAATTAAAATCCGGATAAATTTTTCATTTTAAAACATACCGAATTTATAATACCCAATTCCGTGATCATAACCGTTTTACCTTGCGGAATCATATCAATTAAGCTTAACATCATGTTCTTATTCCATTTTTAAATCATTAATTTACTTCTTATTTAGTTCACATCTTCTACTATATT